TACTGGCCCCTTCGTAGCCCTGATATTGACAGTAGCTCACCAGTTGATACCCTGAACCCTGTACCCTGAACCCTAAGCCCTGAACCCTAAACCCTGAACGCTAAACCCTGAACCCTAACCCCTAAATCCTGAACCCTTAACCCTAAATCCTGAACCCTTAACCCTAACTCCTGAACCCTAAGCCCTAAATCCTGAACCCTAAACCCTAAATCCTAAACCGATACAGTATAATCTCAAGTGCAGGCTAAGCCTCCCCTTCCTGCACCTTCGAGGAGTAGCGGCCCCAGCCAGAAGGGCTGCCGAAGCCTAGGATGTTGGGCTTGAAGGGTTTGGGGTTAGCGCGTAGGGTATAGACTTTAGGGTTTTGGGTATAATCTATACTTAGTAGGAATTTAGGGATTGGGGGTTAGCGCGTAGGGTATAGAGTTTAGGGTTTAGGCTAGAATTGGACTTTAAGGATTGATAGGGTTTAGGGGTTCAGGGCTTGAAGTTCTACATTAGGGGTTTCAATCAAGACTTAAGGACTACAGGGTTTAGGGCACGCAGATGTTGAGTTCGGGGCTTAGGGTTGGGATACGCAGTTTTGGGGGTCCAGGATTTCGTGCTTAGGGTTCGTAATGAGGGGGCTGTGAGCATACAGGGTTTAGGGTTTAGGGTAGACCTGGCAACCTCAACCCATTTGAGCGTATGGAGTTCAGGGATGAAAGCTTCTGGGCTTAAAGTATATGTTATGTAGGGATTATTTGTAGGGTTCAGGGTTTAGGGTCTAAGCTGCAGGGAAGTTGAAGCTGCAAGGTTGGATTTCCTCGGCTTTTCTATCCATGACAGCTTCATACGCTCAGAGTATGCAACGAAACCTTCCAAACGAGACCGTCAAAGTCGAAGGATAAACGTCCACCATGTAGATTCCGAACGAGCAGACAACTTCAAGCTACGATAGGACGGATTGGAAAGACAGAAGTTTTCAGGGCTTTAAGCTTGAGGGGGAGGGGACTAGACGGGTGGAGAGGCGAGGATCGTGCCTACTAATCACTTCCCCCTAACAACGCCCCCCCCCACCCCCTCCCTTAGGATAAAGACTACCCGTAGTGTATAACGGTATTGTTTTGGGGTGGTTTACTATTAGGGGGGTTGGGGGTCCCTCTGATGGGTCCTGATGCGAAACGATGGAAACCACGAGGACAGTGATACTACCATCCAAAACATCCTCAAGCCTATATATAAGCCCTAAGCCCAACACGGCCTCCACCGCTAGGTAAAAAGGCGAATCCGGAGAACACCTAACCCTAGATTCACTGAATCGCCTGAAAGACAGTGGTCCCAAATCCTGAACCCTCAGACCTCCATGTCAAGGACATTTCTGGGTTGATAGTTCTCACACGGTTTAGGGTTGAAATTAGGGGTTCAGGGTAGCCTTAAAGGAGGGCCTGACCTGTGCCTTATGCGGGTGTACCCTCCACAATGAGAACTGCCTACCTGGAAGCGTGCTTGATAAGCCCTGAACCCAAACCTCATAAATCCGTAAAAGCCTTGTAAATCCTAATCCCCAAGCTCCTAGTGCGACTACCTCCTAAACCCCTCGGCCCACTAAACCCTAAACCACTGAACCCCTAAACTTAGCGAACCCCGCACCTCTGAACCCTCAGCTTGCTACCTTGAAGCGGCCACGCAGGAAAATCGCCGCTGCCCTAAGCCTCGCCGCTGCCGACAGCGATGGTCCCGCAGGGGGCGGATTCTCTTCGACCATGGCCGGCGTGAAGGCTTTGGGCTTGAAGGGCGTAGACTGGGTTGCTGTTAAGGAACTTAAACTAAGTAACTAGAACAAGGAAACTCTACTATTTCCTAAACCCTACTATTTCCTATATACCCATATGTTGGTAACTTTAAGTGACTTAACGGCAACCCAGTAGGGTGTAGGTTTTGGGGTTGGGGACTGGGGACTGTTGGCTTGGCCTCGGGGTTTATGGCGTTTAAGGTTTTGAGGGGTGCTAGGGCTTGGGGTTCTGGGAGGGGCTCAGGATGTGTACGTGCTTGTAGGGTTTTGGGGTTCAGAGAGTCTAAACCTTAAACCCTATTGTGTCCAGAGCTCTGGGGCTGAGGATTCATGGCTGAGTTATAGGGTTCTTGTAGCGAAGGTTAGGCGCACGACTTTGTAGTTGAGGGGTTTAGGGTTTCAGCTGCTGCCATCTCGTACCAAGCTGGCTACGTAGCTGAAGTGGCCTATATACCCCTACATGGAACCCGAATCAAGGCCCTGAAAAGGACACCATCTCTGGTCATGAAAGCAGTCCATAGATGGGTGTCCATGTTAGTTTGGGGGAAAGTATTTCCTACTGACACACTTCACACCTGAAGGACAAGCTCAGCAAGAGTACATGCACAACCGCAAGAAATTGCACTACAAGTCCGTATGGTTCCAACAGAGAGCACGATTCAGGCGATTTGCTTGTTGCAACCACTATCATTATTATTCTGTTTCTGATGGTTGTTGTTGCGGAAATCTCTTGCAGCTCTGGGACCTCTGTACATAAAGCCCGTATGCATTACAACTGTGTAGGGTGCGGTTGGAGAAGATCCCAATAGAGAAAAAATTGAAAGTTTTAAGAGTCCGAGTGCCGGTCAGCAAACAAATCCTTATCTTCATACTCCCCATTTCTCACGGACCCAAGAAAAAAGGATCCATTGCAGTTCTGAAAGACAGTCTAACCAAATCCCTCACCTGCACCGTGTTTGCACGCGTCCTCGCGCGGGGCTTCCAAAAATCAGGGGTCGGTTTTTTGAAAGCCCCTATGACAACTGTAGTCATAGTGACATACAAGAGGGACCCCTATTCATGGAAATGCCCGTGCGAGTTTAGGGCTTAGAAGCCCAAACGCAGGACGCTCCAACGGAATCACTGCTTCTATCCTCCATTGGCTCGTGTCAGAGCTATCATGAAGCACCATCTCCCTAAATACATGTAGTCTGGGAGACGGGATCCAGGATCCAAAACCAGTGAAGTGACACAGGATCGTGACATTGTTGGGCATTTGGCCTTTTCCACTAAACACTTCCTGCGAATCTGAACAGAATCCACTTCAGAAAAGGCTTTAGCCGGATAAGGATGGAGTACGACTTGGAGGCATACTCAAAGCTAACCTTGATGCATCAAGCCCTGAATCCCAAGCCCTCAACCCCAAATCGCGAGTCTTTCGCTCCCAAACCAAAAATTTACCTGCAACCCCCAATTCCCTACATTTTTATGGACTATACCTATGATTTAGGGCGTAAATACTACTAATCTGTAGGTACTTGGGGGTTACAGGTAAGCGCTGGCGGGGCTGGCCTCTGGTTTGTATGTTTCATTCAGGTCATCCCGCAGGAAGACAAAGATGTTGCGTTTCGTGGCAGCGCGAATCTCCAGGTACCTTGGGGGTCAGGATAGCTATAGTCTGAACTCCTAGTATCCCCCTAAACCCTATAGTAGTCCCCTATATAACCCCCTAGATAACCTCCTTGAAGGAGTTTAGACTACAGCTCGGGTAGGTCGGGAGAGAGTGTCAGGGCGATGGTTTGGGTGTGGCTCCATAGTGAAGAATGTTCCAAGCGTTGTCCTGCTGAAGCTGATCGAGCCTCATTGAGGGTACAGTAGCTAAACATAATAAGGTCTCGCTTAGCAAACTTGGGCGAGCGCACCCCCCTTTTCAACAGATCGGAGGCTTTAAGAGCCGTAGTTCGGGGGTTGCCGGGGTCTGGGGCTTGTATGCTTAGGGCCTAGGGTCCAAGGTGTGGAAGCGACTCAAACAGAAACTTGCAGGGGTGTGGGGGCAGGGGTAGTTCTCCTTGCTGGCTTCGGGCCTCAATGCCACGCTTAGCAATCAAAGCCCACACTCTTCACGCCTTGGGTTTTGCGGTCGGGGTGAAAAGCAATGGTCTCAGGATCCCAGACCTCAGAGCTCCAGGGATTCTGCAGCGATGGACATCCTATTTCTACACCCCTTTTCGACTTTACTTTTCAGCAGCAATGCTCCTGTACTGGTCCCGTATATATCCCCTATATAACCGCCTTTGAGGACTTTAGGCTATAGCTCACTTCAGCCTCCAACTAACTGCATTCAGCCGAACCGGGAACTAGGGATCTCCAACTCGGCCTGCCGCATGCACGAAACCATGCGGGTTAGGGTTTAGGGTTTGGCCTAAAACCCTAAATCCTATACCTCAAAACCCTAAACCCTTAAACCCTAAACCCCAAACCCTTAAACCCTTAAACCCCTAAACCCCTAAACCCTTTAGGGTTCAGGGTTTACGGTTTAGGGCTCAACTTCGGAGCCTAAAGCTGTACGACGCTCTGCAAAAAACTGGGGGGCTAGTAGGGAACATGGGAATATAGGGGTACAATATAAGGTTTGGGGTTTAGGGTTTATATAAACGGGTTGTAGAGGGCTTATAGGGGGGAGTTATGGGGGGCTTATATTGGGATAATGGAAAAATGGAAACTACTACTTAGGGTTTAGGGTGTAGGGGGTAGGGTTTAGGAGTGGCTAGGGGCTGGGGCTTAGGGCTAAGGGTTTCATTGTTCAGGCCAAAGGGTGTCATCGTT